TTGGGTGTTTTTCTCTACCTTGTCTTCTAAGTTGCTGATTCAGTCTCCAGCTTCTTCTAATCTATTATTGAACCCTTCCAAGGTATTTTTTGTAACAGCTATGTCATTCTTTATTTCCTCTTGATTTTTATGCATAGCTTCTACCTCTTTTTTAAGCTGAAGTAGTTCCTAGTGAGCTCTTCATAATTCTTATTAAGTTGCTTGTAGTTCTCACCAAATTGTTTGAGCACCCTTAAAATCATTGCTTTGAATTCTTTATCTGACAAGTTGCTGTTTTCCATTTCCTGTAGTTCTTTTTCTGGTGATTCCTCTTTTTCTTTCATTTGGGTGTTGTTTTTTTGTCTCCCCATTTTAGCTATCTGGTAGCTCTAGACCTGGTGAGAGATGTTTGAATGTGTAGGCAGCTCACTGTATATAAAATAAGGCTACTGTGTCTCCCAGACTGTTTTGTTGCATGTCGCCTCTTGCCTGCTGTGGATCCTGGAGGATTGACTACTGGGGGCTGGTACTGGTATATCCTGGTAGGTGCAGCTGCTGGATTACATGGGTCCCTCTGGAGCTGTGCTTCCAGCTTGTCGCTGGTGCCACCTGTAGCTGTATAGCTCAGGCCCTGCTGGAGCCGTGCTCCCTGCCCACACTGTGGGCAGCTGTATTGCATAGGCCTCACTGGAGCCCTGGCTCCCTGCTAATCTTGTGGGCAGCTGGGTTGTACAGGCCCTGTTGGAGCCCCTGCTTCCTGCTGATCCTGTGGGGACCTGGATCACAGTCACTTCCGGAGACCCGGCTCCATGCCGAGCTTGTGGGCAACTGGGTCGCACAGGCCTCTCTGATGCCCCAGCTCCCCACAGGTCCCACAGGCAGCTGGATCGCACTGGTCCTTCTCCAGCCCCGGCTCCCCACCACTCTTGTGGGCAGCTGTGTTGTCCAGGCCCCTGGGGAGCCCAGGTCCTGCTGCTGGCGGCTGGAGAGTGCAGCTGCCCAGTGGGGCTCAGATCCTGCTCAGCCTTTGCTGTAGTTTTGGGGGATGGGTCTCAGCGGCTGATCTGTGCTTTTGTTGCCTGGGAATGGATGTCTGCTCCCCAGCTTCTGTTGCTGAGAGTATAACTCGACTCTGATCAGGCTGCTACTGTGGGGGATGGTGCTGGGTTCCCGGCCACTTTTGGTTTCTGCAGCAGGCACCTTGACAGCTCCGCTACTGTGCGCTGTCTCTGTTGACACAGGGTATCCACTGGTCCAATGGTGCCGGGTGCACTGGTGAGCTCAGGTTGCTGGGCCCTAGCCGCTCCCACTGCCTCCTCCCAGGGAAGACCTGGGATCTTCCTGGGGTGCAGGGAGAAGAACCCTGAAGAGCCGCTTACCACAGTAGCCAGCTGCTCCCATCCACAGCACAGGAACCTTCTGCTCCACGTCTCTGCACTGCACGAGTTTGGTTGTCCACCTTCACGTCCACTCACACTCTCTCACACACTAGTTCACTCTCTCATGCACTCAACCTCCCTCCAGCACTGCCCACCACCATCTTGTATGCTAATCCAGAAAATATTTTGAAAGTAACACAAGTAATATGTGCATTCATTTAAATCTGGTATATAAGAAAATTATATATAAAGTATAACTTTTTTTTTTTTTTTTTTGGTACGTGCCCCTAGCAGAAACTGAACCCGGGACTTTCTGGTCTGCAGGCCGACGCTCCAACCGCTGAGCCAAACCGGCCAGGGCAAGCATAACTCTTCTTGACACCTTTTTGTCTTGACTTGTTCACCACCCCTCAAGGCACCTGCATGGTTGGGGGAGGAATCTTCCCAAATTGAGTATTGTTTTGTCATATATATCTATATTATCATACTGTACCCACCAGTCATTTCCATTGACATTGTGTTTCTGAGATCTATTTATACTTTAATAATGGATTCATGTTTGTGGCTATATAATACTCCATCGTACTCATGTGTCACTAATTTATTCCCCCCTTTTAAAAATATGTTTCTATTGATTTTGAGAGAGAGAGAGAGTAAGGGAGAGAGAGATAGAAACATCGATGTGAGAGAGAAACATCCATCGACTGTCTTCTGCACACCCCCTACTGAGGATCAAGCCTGCAACACTTCCATATGACCTGACTGGGAATCGAACCAGGACCTCTCAGTCCACAGGAGGATGCTGAATTCCACTGAGCCACATGAGCCAGGCTATTCATTCCCCTTTGGATGAACATTTAAATCATTTAAAATTTCTTGCTTTGGCAAACACTGCAACACTGAATGTCTTATACATTTCTCTTAGTGTGTATGTGGAAATTTTTCTCTAAGATTGAATCCTAGAAGAGGAAATGTTGGGTCACAAGTTATGTAATTTTCACTTTTAACAACTTCTGCTAAACTACCTTCCAAAAAGCCTTTCCAACTGATATACCCAAAATCAGTGTATTCATAACCTTGCAAAAATCCTTGTTTTTATTTAGACCTGTCCATGTATAATTTTCAAGTTAAACATGACTCTCAAATATGTTTCTACAAATATGGAGTGCACATGTATCAAAAATTTATTCAGCTCAATTAATTTCTCAATTAATTAATTGAGAAAATTTGTATGATGAAAAAGCTATTTCAAAGACTATTTAGGAAAATGTGTTAATATAATCCTTAACAAAATATTAAAAGAAGATTACTAGGCTACATATAAAAATGGTTAATGTCCTAGAGTGCAATAAACTATAACTTTTGAAGTTATCTTTTCTTTGAGACAAAGAAATTTGCATTTCTACAAGGCACAAATCTACAAATTAATATATAACCTTATAGATTCTTAGCCTTTCATTAATAGTAAAGAGCAATATCAAACAATGGTACAACCCTCTAAAAATTAAGTAATCCTTGGGCCTTTAAATGCTGCTTCCATAAGACATTGAAAGGATGACTAGATCATTTTTCTTACAAATTTAAAAAGTCTATCAATGCAATGGATTTAAAAATGGCAGTTCGTCGTGTTTTAATCTGAATTTCTTTAACTATTAGTGACTTTGAGGCATTTGTTATTTTTACTTGGCCATCCAGTTTTCTCTAGTTCCAGATCTCTTTAAACAAACATCAGTACTATGAAATTACTTTTTTTCTCTTTAGTGACCAGGAATGCCTGGCACAAACTGAAGGGCAGCTTAACCAAGTTAGGCCTCCTAGGCAACAGGGAACTGAAGACCTGATTTTTCTTAGGAAATATTTTTATACAGTAAAGTGTGACCCCCAAAACTGGATGCATAAAAGCACCTTAATTCTGACCTTCCAAGTCCTACAGATGCTGCTCATGCCAGTGGCAGTGAAAGAAAAGCGGTATGTGTCCAGGGAGGATGAGCATGTGCGTGTGTGTGTGGGGGGGGGGGGGGGGGGGGTTGCAGGAGGTGGAACTAGGTTCTGCTCAGCTCTCTTAGGTCCCTTCCTGGGCTGACTCCCTTGGTCAGACTACTACTAATCACTCAGCACTTACAAATCACCCGCCAAGGGCAGGCAATAGGCAGATTTTGACCAGGTAAATGGGGAGCATGACCAACACAGGGAGGTAAAGATAGACCGAGATAGTGAACTTCAACGACATGATATCAGCAAGAATGGATAAAACTTGGTAGTGGTGATGTGTGCGGAGGCGGAGAACATCTCAGTTTGGAGTGAGTGACCTGCAACCTGGCCTCAGACTAGTTGCCCTTTTGAGACTTTCTAGAACTCAGGAAAGCGCTGTAGGGCCTCGCTCTGGGCTCTCCCACCCGTTTAGAGCTAGCGATGTGACACTTCTGGAACCAACTTCCAATTCTTAAACTATCCCTTGAAATCATCTTCTAATTTAGGAACAGCCTAAGGAACCGGAGGCTGTGAATCCCAGCTGCTGTGAACCCGTTTTCTTTCAATGTGGTAGTTTTTCCCAGTTAGACTCCCGAAATCCATCTCAAAAGGCTACCGGCTCACTCCAGGACGCCCTTCCCCACCACCAGTTTGTCGCACATCTCAGTAGGAGGGGGTCCTCCTCCCCTTTTAGAGGGTGACCACTTGGCTGCGGGCCCAGGTCCTAGGAGACGCCCCTTCCTGGCTGGGGCCTGCCCCCTGTCGGTCTTTCCGGCCGCGTGCCAGTCTGTCTGCAGCCAGTGTCCCGGCCTGTGGCACGACTGGAATGCACGGGGGACGCGGGGCGCGGAGACGAGGACGAGGCACATAGCCCCAACACCCGGCAAGCCAGTCCCGGGTTTGGAGTGTGCCCGCAGCCTTCCTCCGCGCTCGGCCCAGCCTTCGCTCCCTGCCCCATACCCGTGAAGTCCCAGCCCCGTCGCGGGTCGGGTGGGGCGCACAGCGCCCCGACCGTGCCCGAGTATCGAGAAGAGGAAAGAGGAAAAAGTCTCCCCGAGAACTCCTGAGCGTAGGCCCGCCACGCCCTCCCTCCGCAGTTTCTCGTCCAGTCGCCGGCCGGCGGCTCCGGGCCGCGGACGAAGGAAGCGGAGAGGGCGGTCCGGTCAGCGGAGGGAGTGGAGGACGCGGTGGGGGGACCGAGCGCTTGGTTTCGGCCTCAATTCCGCCAGCAGGGCTTCACGCAGTCCCAGCCGCGCGGGCTCGGGGCTGGGCGGCGCCGGGCCGTGGGCGGCGGGCCAGGCCACCCCCTCCGCGTGCGTCCCCGGCACGTCCTCTCACCGGAGGCGGAGGAAAGAGGACCGGCCGGGGCCTGGACGTCGACGACCGCGCCGCCCGCGGTGGGAAGTGCCCTATAAAGCTGCAGCTCGGCCCGCCCGCCAAACTCTCGCCGCGCTGTGTCCGGAGGGTGTGCCGAGTCCGGGGACGGACCTCTGACCGACTTCCGTCGAACCCCGATCCTGGGCAACCCCCAGACCGACCCCGGCTTCGGAAAGACCTCGGACAGACCCCAGGCCGACTCCAGGCTCACCCCGACCGGGCCCAGACGCGCCCCCTGCCGGCGGGCAGCGGGGCCGAGGGCACCCCGCGGCAGGGGCATGCGTGGCCCGCGATATGGCCTCGGCGGTGTTTGAGGGCACCTCGCTCGTGAACATGTTTGTGCGCGGCTGCTGGGTGAACGGCATCCGCAGGCTCATCGTCAGCCGGCGTGGGGACGAGGAGGAGTTCTTCGAGATCCGCACGGAGTGGTCGGACCGCAGCGTCCTCTACTTGCACCGCAGCTTCGCCGACCTGGGCCGCCTGTGGCAGCGTCTCCGGGACGCATTCCCCGAGGACCGGCCGGAGCTGTCGCGCGCGCCGCTGCGCCAAGGTGCGGGGGCCTCGGGCTCCGGGGAGGGGCCGGGGCCCTTCGGATAGGGGAGACTTGGTTGTGAGGTCGTTTTAAAGTGCGTTAAAGGGAGGGGAAGGCAAAGGGAAGTTACTTAAACTAAGACTGCGGCTTTTCCTTCCGTCCCGGGCACGGGACAGGGGACACTTCGATCCTCCGCCCCCAGATGAACGGCGCCCAGGCGCCAGAGGTAAGAGAACAGGGAGTGGGCTCATGGAACCCCGAAGCCTTCCCAGGATGGGTGCCCTGACCGTCACCTAGGACGAGTCACTGACCAGTACTAGTGGGGCAGCCAGTGTAGGGATGGCCCCTAGGCCGCTCAGTCTCAGTTCCTGCGCCGCACTAACAGTCCTCTCCCTCCCCACTCTCGGGAGGGCCGGCTGCGACCACCCTTCCGCCCAGAGGGCTGCAGTAGGGGCCTAAGGAAACATACAGGAAGAGCTAAGGACACTGTCCAGTTGGGGGTCGCTTCGTGTCTGGCAGCCGCCCCTCAGACTCCTCCCCTGGAAGGGGCCGCGCCTCTTGACTTCTTGGCTGACAGAAGAGCATGAGTGCTTAGTGCCACGCAGCCTTCTTCTGTCACTGCTGGGGAGGGGCAGCCCCACCGGCAGCTGTAGAGGAAAGCTCGGGTCCCCACCCCAGGGGTGGGTCCACATTCGGATTTGATTAACTGTCAGCCTCCTCCCTCCTGGGGACTGGAGTTTTCAGAGAACTGCTGTGGCTTCCCATTTCCTACTGCCTGGCTAACGCCCATCCCACAGGCCGCCCTTTGGAGGACAGGCAGGGAGGAGATTGGAAGGGAGGAAGGGCTAGAAAGGCTAAAGTTGAGATGGCGGGGGAGGGGCCAAGGGAGGTCTGTCTGGGCTCTAAGCAGCCCCACTTCCCTTATCCCCACTGGGTGACCACCTCCAGCTGGGTGACACCCAGAAGCCTTCCTTTCTGCAGTCCTCTAAGCTAAGGATGGGTGGGACAAGTCTCCTTAGCTGCTGGTCTGCCTGAGGTCTTAAGATAACCTCTACTTATCTTCTGGTATTGCCCCCACACCAGAGTGTGAATTATATGGACGTTAGCTCAGTTCCCATGACGCATCCTCTGGCAGACACATCATTTTGGAAAGATTTCCAAAGCCAGCAAGTTTGAGGGCCTGAGTGAGACAGCTTGCCTTTCCGGCTTCTCTTTGCTCCCCAGATTCTCACATTTATAGACATTCTGGAGATAGTTCAGGATTATTTTAAGCGTAGCAACAGTTTTCCTTGGGTTTGCTATTTGGGTGTGTATATTATTATATTTTAAAATTTAAATGAATGAACAAATCAGGGAAGCTTAGTTGAAGGAACAGCAGTTTATTCAATGACTTTCATCCTTTCTGGAACAAGGTGGACCGTAAACAAATTGGAACCCCTGAGAGCTTCCAAAGCTCCTGCCTTCCCCTCTGCCCTCCAGGTCTCACTCTGGTCAGGTGGCCCAGCTTAGCTCCTCCTCTGTAACATAGTACCTGTTGCTTACTTTTTTTTAAATCCTCACCTGAGGATATTTTTCCATTTATCTTCAGATAGAGTGGAATGGAGGGAGGAAAGGAGGGAAGGAGACAGAGAAAGAGAAACATAGATGTGAGAGAGACACATGGACTAGTTGCCTCCCACCCAACCCTGACCAGGGCAGAGGATGAACCGCAACCAGGATACTTGCCATTGGCTGGAATCAAACCCGACACTCCTTGGTCCACAGGCTGACGCTCTAACCGCTGTGCCAAACCTACCTGGGCTATTGCTTACTTTTTTGTATGTGAGGATTAAAATGGAGAGTGGAGTGGCTAGCAGTAGTGAGCCCTGCATTAATGCTATTTGTTATTGTTCCCCTCTGTATCTGCTGCTTCTGGTGAGGCTTGTAGATGGTGGGAGGGGAGGAGGGTTTGTGGCTTTGGCTACCCTGGGACTAGGTAGGAAGAAGATTTACCTGGAGCAGAAGGGAGGTGAGTGTGAGGCACTTGACCCACCCTGTACATGCCCCTAGCTCTGTCCTTTCTGTGGTCATTTGAGTTGTGCTGGGTCAGTTCTAGGTTCCTGAGGTGTAGACACACAGTGCCTCTGAAGAGTGGACCACCTACAAGTGAAGAAAGGTTCAGGAAGAGATTGATTACCTGGGAGAAAAGAAGACTCAGAAAGGATATGATAGGTACTTTCAATGATAGGTACTATCTGAAGCAGGGAGGGGATTCAAACTAGGTATTAGACATGGTAGTAGTTGTGGTGGTAGGGTCAGTGGAGGTGGTGAGGATGAGGGCCATGGCTGGGTATAAAAGACTTTATAACAGCCCACAATGAAACTGTTGGAAACTTTGGCTGGATTCCTGCAAGAGCTTGCTCGGCACCCCCTGGGACAGAGGAGGGGTGACCTTAATTCTTGTCTTTGATTCTCTGCGTGGAGGCAAGCTGGTCCCTCCCCAAGCACCATCTGAATATTGTTGTATAATCCTAAGGGACATACTTTCCCTTTCTCAGGTATTTTTAAGTTAAGGGAAATCATTTTCTAAGTAAAATACATCACAGTAATGTAAAAAAGAGTCCACCTCATTTTCACGTACCAGGTATCATCCTAGGTGCTAGGGACATGGTAGTGAACAAAACAGACAAAAAGCCCTGCTCTCGTGATTCTTATATTCTGGTTGGGAGAAACCTAGTAGTAAACAAGATAAGTGAAAAGTATGTTAGATAGTGATACATGTTCAGAAGGGAAAAAAAGTAAGCAAGTAAAGGAGCTCTCGCTTGTGAAGGCAGGGAAGGTAGGGTAGTCCAAAAGGTCTCAGAGGAAGTGACCTTTGAGTAATGACCTGATGGAAGGGAGGGAGCCAAGCCACATCACCACCTGGGGAAGAAAGAGCATTCCAGGCAGAAGTAAGAGCAACTGCGAAGGACCTGAGGCCTGAATGTGCCTGATGACTTTCAGTAGTGAGCGGGCCATTGTGGCTGGAGTGGAGAGTGTAGCAGGAGATAGTCAGGGAGGTAGGGAGAGGGCAGATCAGACTCAGATTTGGGCTCTTATTCAGAGATGGAGAACTTTGCGCAGAAGAGTGACTAGATCTGACACGCACTCCAGCTGCTGCGCTGAGAGAAGGGAGGCTGGCGAGAGCTGCTGGGACATTGTGCCAGGCGTAGCAGAGCAGGTGTGAGACATGGCCAGACACCGATGTGTCTGTAAGAGGCACAGCATTTACTGAGAAACAAAATGTGGGATGTAAGGAGTGTCAGGTTCACAGCAAAGCTTGCAGTCTGAGAAATGGTGTAGGACTCCAGCTTTGAGTGCAGCATTTCAGCATTTTCTCCAGATAAGGCCCCTCATCGAGAGCCTGTGTGGTGCTAGTGCACATGTCTCTGTTCACCTTTATCCCTGAAGACAATCTTACGTGTACCTGTAGACTGTCTATTCTTAGATTTGAGATCTGAGAGATGGGAGTTAAGGTATTTAGGATATTATCAGGATATACCCACCAACCTCCCACCACCCCGACAGCTCAAGGAAGATGTGTGCTCTGCTCCCAGGCACTGAGCCTGGCCACTCATTCTTATGTGGACAGAGAGGAGAAAAATTCTGACCTACGCTCAAACCATCTGGGAGAATGCCACCTGATGGAGGGGACGAACTGCAGTCTCTGAGGTTACTCTCTGAGTGGCTGCAGAAAGTGCAGAGGCTGCATGGGTCCCGGGCAGCAGATCAGAACAGAGACCATCTCTGCCCAGCCTGATGTGTGCTTTGGTGGGCCTGCCCCTCACCCGGGACTCAGTCCCACCTGCATGCACAGCTTCACCTTAGGCAGCGGTTCTCAACCTGTGGGTCGCGACCCCTTTGGGGGTCAAACGACCCTTTCTCAGGGGTCACCTAAGACATAACAGTAGCAAAATTACAGTATGAAGTAGCAATGAAAATAATTTTATGGTTGGGGGTCACCACAACATGAAGAACTGTATTAAGGGGTCACGGCATTAGGAAGGTTGAGAACCACTGCCTTAGCGTATCCTGCCTCTCCTAATGGGCAGTTTTCACTTCCGGGGGTTTGGGGGTATCCTTTCTGATTCACAGATCAATTTTGAATCTCTTCCACATGTAGTGCTTCTGGGCTAGGTGCTTTCCCAGGGCAGCATGGGCAACATCCAGTCCGGTGCTGGGCTGTCCACCTTCATGTAGCCTGCTCTTTCTCTTTCCTCCCTCTGTTTTATCTTTCTTTCCCAAGTCCACACCCTGCTGCTGCCCAGACTTCGTTCTGATTTCCTTGTCCTAGTGCTGTTGGTATCCAGTCCTTTCTCTGAAAGTGGCCATGTGGCTGAGTTTGGTTCACAGTCCTGAGATCTCATCCCATCGGAGCTCACTGTGCCATGGGCCAGGCCCCAGGTGACCTGAGCTCACCTCTCAGCTGGAGGAGGAGCCAGCATGGTACTTTCCACCAGATTTCAAAGGAGAAACTTGATTCTGCTTCTCCATCAGACAGTACCATGAACCCACTGTAGCATCCTGGCTGCCCTCAGGATGGCCCCCAGGGACATGGGTCCCCTTCCCTTCTTAAAACAAGTGTAGGCTTCACATTTCTCTGCTGTCTTTTTTAATAAACACATTTCCAAAAGGTGAAAGATATTTCTGCATTGTGCACAGTCCAGATAAGGGAGAATTCAGAGAGCCGGTGCCAGGTGATCGTGCCAGGCAAAGCTAATAAAACAGTAGGCATTTGATCAGTCTGCCACTTCTGTTTGAAGCTCAGCTTGGAGTTACATAATGTACATGGGATTCGGGAGACTGAGGAGAGGCCGGTAGTGAGTTAAGAGCCCAGTGTGCATGTTACCCACCTGGCACCGATTCTCCAGGCAGGGCGTCCTGCGGAGCTCCTGGGCTCGGCAGTGGAGACAGTAAAAGGGACAGTACGTTGTTGTCAGTGGTTGGCACTGCCTGCCCACTGGAATCCAGTTTTTATTGGTGTTTTTGTTCACTTTTCC